CAAGAGTTTTCAACTATGAACCTTAGAAAAAATCATTTCAGAAGTGGACTAACAGAAAAGCATTTAGCCTTGTTCCTTAAAATAAGCACATCTCACTTCGAACCTTAATATAAGGAACTTTTAAAAATGAAATCGCAATTTCATTCATCGCACTAAATATTTAAATTAAAACTTGTATATCGCTTTTTTTAAAATTTTGAAAGTTTTATTTGGCCCACCAAACATTTTTTTTCTAGATTTTTGGCCCTCGACCAAAAAAGTTTGTCCATCCCTTGTCTAGAGTAAGAACTCCCCTAGCCATTCGTTTAGACCCGTGGCGGTGACTATGGTAACGAGGTATAACTATTTCAAGTAGGGGTGTGGGGTCATTGTTTAGGACAGATTTTGGCTCAGGTCGGCGAGAGAAAGGGAATCATTTTCTTCTCTCAACTGAGTTAGCCCTAGAGTGAAGAGAAGTTACTCTCCCTAAAATGCGCTGTCCTTGTTTCAAGAGCAGCAGACGACACCAGACTTTGTGGCGGGGAAAGTTCTTAACATAGACAAACTATATAGATGTTTCACTCAAAAGAAGAATTGATTATTTCTTGCAATGTATGAGTGAGCATTATCTAGGGGAAAAGGAAATCAGGAATGCTTTGAAACAAAGAACCGACTTAGGAATTCAGTTACTCACTGATTTACATGTCACTTTTAAAATTGTACAGGGGAACAGTTACTTTTTTTTCTGTTGCATGAAAATTTTTTTAACGGATCTTAAATATTTTCGCGTCTCTGATTTCAAATGTGCAATTGGTTTTACTCTCCATGCTACAGTTTTTTTAATGACATTTTTAGTCCATTTTTTGGTCGAAATAAGTTTAAAATCGTTACACACAACAGTAGATCATGTAAATGTTGCGACTAACTTCTAGGAGAGTTAGGGCACATCATCAGGATTAAAATAGGATAGGAGCCCATGCCGGTAATGTTGTCATACGCCGCTAGGGGAGCATCCCCTATTATAAACTGTTTATTCGTGTGCTTCTGAACAGGTCATAGTAGGGGAAGTTCCCCTAGCAGCGTATGTCGACATTTCCTAACATTGTTACCTATGCAATTTTAATCCAGATGATGTGCCCTAACTCACCTAAAAGGTTGTCTCAATTTTTATGCGATCCACTATTATATATAACGTTTCTAAACTTGTACATTTCGAAAAAAATAGGCTGAAGATGTCATTTAAAAAAAAATTGCAGCTTTAGGTGGAAAACTAATTTTAGATCTGAAATCATTCTAAACTAACAACTAAAATCTGAAATAGTCATAACACACAATTACACACCAGACAATAACTCCATATGTTCGTCCACTATGAGGCTTGAAAATACACTTTACAAGGTAGATTCAAGAAAGATAAAAACTCTTTCAAATTAGATCTGTTATATGACATAAGGTTATCGCAATATATTGTAAAGTGCATAATTACTTCTCATTGCATTGCACATTCTGTATTCCTCCATAAGTTTAAACATTTTTTTTTTTTATTCAAGCAGAGTTGATATATTGGCCAATTTCTCTCTCTCTAAGGAAGTAGTTTTTGTAATCCTTTAAAGTTTGGAGCATGTAATTTGGAGGTGACGCTAAAATCAACAACAGTTTTTATCTATGCTACAACTCGTTTATAATGCGTAAATTTTGATGCTGTAAAGGCCTGATCTTTTATTTCCTGTTCAAATTTCAACATTATAGACATTGTTTGTTGACACAACCCAAGTTCTAGAATGCCACTAATTGGTCGGATGAAAACCCGCGCATGTGCACTGTTTATATACAGGGTTATTAAAATCATACTTATATGAAGGCAAAATCACAAAATAAAATAAAATAGAATCTTAGTAACACAAATGATTACAGAGTAAGATTAATTTATTTAGCTAAGAATATATGAAAACGGACAACAAAATGAAATGATCATATGCCCACTAGCTGACGTCATGTAACTTTGGGAGGTGAGTGGCTGTGGAAGGACAACCTTGGGTGGAACGTAGAACATGCTCTACTATCAACCAAGGGCTTGGATAACGAACTTAAATTATCGTTTACGTGATTCAAGCTCCATGCAAAAAAAAAAAATACATCAATTTCTATCAATTTTGGTCCAAGAACTTGAATCGTCCTTAATGTCCCCTCATCTCCCTTCACTGACGTTAACGAGTCCAAATTTACGAACGAAAAATAATAAATCAATATTATTCTAAATAATGGTAATAGTAATATAATTCGAACTTTGCAGGGTGATTCTGGCGGCCCACTCCTACACCAAGATTCAAAAGGCATTTGGTCTTTAGTAGGAATAGTCTCCTTCGGCTACAAATGTGGTGAACCAGGATTTCCAGGTGTCTACACTAAAGTTTCAGCCTACATGCCATGGATCGCCAATAACATGCGTAGTGAGAATGAAGTATCCATGGAA